GAGACAGTGGGACAAAGAGAGACACGGGGCAAAGCTGAAAAAACTGACTGCCATTGGACTGAAAAGTGGGAGAGAAGAAAAGGAGCAGAAGAGGGCTGAGGCTGCTGTTTTAGTGTGGGCAATCAAATTAGGTTAAGGAATCCAGGGAGGCAAGCGACTGCCTGGAAGTGGAGGATTGACACAGTGTCCAGACCACCACAAAAGGGGGAGGAAGACAAGCACGGAGGTATGCAAGTGCACTCTTAGAAAAATGGAAAGGTGACAACACACATGTAGATAATATGCACCAGAGATAACAAAAATCATACACAAAGTGTTACACATTACAAGAGGGTATTTGGAGAAGGGGTTAACAACACACAGCGTGGTTGCCTATGGTAACCTGCAAGCATTTGGGGTTTAGCTGTGCCTGACTATGACAGAGTTTTTCATTTAGATGTTTCTGAAACAAAATTTGGAGTGAACGGAGTTTTGTTTCAGAAAAAAGGGGGAAGGTACATGAAAGGATACATAAAAACAGAAAATGTATTAACCCGACAACACACACACACACACACACACACACACACACACACACACACACACACACACACACACACACACACACACACACACACACACACGTAATGAAGATCAAACACAATTTTAAGTTGGTAATACTGTTAACATCATCCTGTCTGTTTTATTGAGTGGGTTGAGAACTGACGACTGAAGTAGTATTATTTTGGGGAACATGATAACAGGGGTGAACAGAATCCTGCAGCCAGAGTTTGAATGAATGAAACTAAATGAGTGAAACTAGCAGATTTTTGTTTAGTTTTGTTTTGTTTTTGTTTCTGAAGTATGGGTGTTTTCTCACCTATAAGAGAAAGAACATTTTGCGACAAGCCTTAAGACCGGGCTTTTGTATTCTTTTATTTTCTTTTGTTTTTCAGTTTTATTGGTCATTTTTCATTTTATTTTTATTTTTTGAACAGTGCACTGATTTTTGTTTGTCAATTTCTTTTCTTTAAGCAGATCTGCACGTCGGGAATTAAAAGCGCTACACGTCGTCAAGAAAATTGTTGCAAGTGAGTTTCTCCACATTAAAATGGGCTCAGGAGAAAGCCACTTATCTGGGACAATTAGAAAGTAAGTTCCTGTCCAAAAAGGATTCAGCGATGTAATCCGAACTAAAGTTCTTCTTTTTCCTTTTGAAATGATGTCATTTTGCTGAGAGTGGAAACTAAATGCGACGATGGGTTCCACTATCAGCAAAGAAAGAATGAATGTAGGAATGAATGAATGGAAATAAAAACAAACAAACTGACTGGCAAAAGCTGACAAGACTGACTGACTTAACACCATTGTGTGAAGTCAACCCCCACCTGACAAAGGTGTGGATGTATCTCTGTGTGTGTCTCTGTTGCAGGAGCAGAAGGAGACCACAGGAGGAAACTTGGGTCACATGACTATGTGAACTCTGAAAATTTAACCTTTTTAGTTTAATTTTTTCTGTGTCTGTGAATTTACCATGGGTGTGTTATTCACTACCTTGTGTTGCTCACAGAGATCACTGTGAGAAAGAGTGTATACACCTGCGCAGCGCTAACATTTACATTTCTTTTTACAGCAGATGGTTAATCATGTGATTTATAGCAGGACACAACTTAATGATGTTTTTCTACCACAGGATTACTGAGATTTTGTGTGAAGAAAACTGTAGTTACAGGCTATATGTTGATGATGAAATTACACTGTGTTGTTGAGAGAATGTTGGAGAGAATGTGAATGTTACAGGGGAGAAATTGATGCAGTTTGAGACATACTGTGATGAGACCATTGTTATTTTTTCACAGCGAATGTTGACTTTACGACTTTTCACAGCTCCTCTGGAATCTGGATGGCCGACACCTGACAACCAGGATGAACCGTGTGTTTGGCTAATGTTTGTTTTTCTTTTAGAGTGCTTGTAAAGGATTCAGCACAGACAGACAAGTGACAATTGAACAGATGTGCAGTGATTTCAGAATAGTTACATGGGGCTCATTATCTGACCACACTGTTGGGCTCATGGTGAGTGACGAACTTAAGAGAACTCACAGATTAAATTATGGAATAAATTGGGATGATTCATGATTTGGGACGAATTATGGTAATAATAGTGATTTAATGATTGGAGAAAACCTGCACATGATACTTGTCTGTTATGCTGAGTACTTTATCACTCTCATGATCTATAGTTGGTTGCAAATGTGAAGTTTGATTTAACAGATTTGTTTTCCAGGTTACAGGCTCCAGGTGGAGCTGGGAGTTAAACAAGCTTAACATGTGACTGCTGATTAATGTTTTACACAGGGCTACAGGTTGGAGTATGGCTGCTCCAAGGGACAAACCCTGGAGATTGTTTTAGAGAGAATGTGCAACATTCTTGTTCATGTCTCATTGGGGAGTTGACACATGGTGAAAGCCGTGTGGGGAGAGGAGTGTTATTTTTTAATCTGTAGATGTCGTGAGGTGCCGTGACGAGAAGGAGTGGCTGAGAGGATCGTCCGCAAAATGGGAGCTGAGGCCAGGAGAGAGGCTTCAGGAGGATCAGAGATCATCTTCAGCACAGCAGACATCACACAGAGAGCTGTGCTACTGAGCTTCCAGGAGATCAAGAGGAGACTTCCCACAGCAAGATTTTAAATAAAATGAAAGATTCAATGTTGACGCTGAGGAAGACAACTAAGGTGTACGATGTGCTCTGCCTTAAATCTTCAGCAGCGTTGGAACATGAAAACTCGAGGGATGGAGAGAGCGTGCCAAGCTCTAAAAGTGACAGCGAAGAGGAAGTCCAGTGATGGAATTGTGATTCTGTGTGAGGCACAAATACTAGGAGACTGGGAAATAGTTGACACCATTTTTTCCCAAGGATGAAGATCACCTGAAGTGTCTCACTTTGCCATGCAGATTTGATGCTCTGCAGGGAAGCCTTCTGTGAGGGAGAGATGTAAACAGACGAGCCTTTTATCTACAGTTAAATCATGTCAACTTCTCTAGGCTGGTTGAGGGGGAAAGTGGAGAGCAATGGTAGTGTTAGGAGTGATAACTGTTGTAATCTTAACTGTGATTTTTTTATAAGTGAATTGCCCAGAGACAGACCTGAATCCATTCCAGCGACTCCACCATCACAGGCCACGGTGAAGCGAACCAAACATAGTGAAACAGGTAAATCAGATGAGTGTTTTAATTATTATGGTGGTGTAGAGTTGGACTACGTTAAAGGGTCCACAATCTTGTGTACATTTGATCTTTGTGCTGTCATTAAATGCAAGGGCTTACTGAACAGTTGAGTCCAGCGTCTTTAATGGCAGTACTAAATCGGATGCCGTTAGATATGTTGTTGGGAGAAAAAGGGGGCGTTTGCGCGATGTTTGGGGATATGTATGGTACTTTTATTTTCAATAACACAGTTCCTGACGGCTCTGTGATCTGAGTTCTGGAAGGCCTAAAGACGTCCACCGCAATGTAGGAGCATTCGGGATTAGATGACCCGCTGGAAGCGTCGATGACCTCTGTCTTTGGGCAATGGAAAGGTTTTATTATGTTAATTATGGTTTCTTTGTCTGTTTTTATTGCAGTATTAGTGACATGTGGGTGTTGTTGTGTGCCTTGTATCAGAGCTTTGATTGTAAGACTCATCAATCGTGCTGTGGGAGAATCTGATACAAAGGCCGACACCATGATGCCACTTTTGGAAAATGGGGAGTCACAGTATGAAAACATTATGGTGAGGGATTTAGTTTAGTTTTATCTGCCATAGAGCAGATAAAAAAAGGGGGACTTGTAGAATATTTAGCTGATTTAGAGTTTAGAAATGTGTTATTGTAGAATATAGAACTATTGTAGAGACACTGTGTAGAGTAATGAAGGCCTCTTTGGGTTCTGAACTTAGGAGTAGATTTTAGAGGGCCTCTCCCCCATGGAGTGGAAATTCCCCAGAGGAAGTTTTAGGGTGGGGGTCGCAACATTTATGATACCTGTAACTGTGGTCTAGAAGGGAGAGGGGCGTTTATGACCTCTAGGGACTCACCTACCCCCACCGGGTTTTTGTTGTTGCGCACACACATCCACACACACACACTTATTCATGCGCACACAGTCACACACGAGCACTCACATAGACACAAGGGAGCGCGCACATGTAGGCATTCATGTGCTCGTGCACATAGACACAGACACAGAGTTTGCAGCACACCGTGGGGGTTTTATGATAGGGGACAGAGACTATAAAGCTAGCTGCAATGAACAAAGGGTTGAAGATTTTAGGAGAGGAACACCGGCCTCGTCTTCCCTTCTAGAAGTGCATGCTTAAATGAGGATAAATGAAGAAGAGTAAAGATGAATGAAGATGAATAAAGATTTTGTAAAAATGACTACTGAGTCCAGTGCCATCTCTGGATGCTCGAGGAATAAAAAGAACCGGGGTAAAACTGATTTCGTAACAGTGTTCATTCATAGTTTTGATGCCTTCAGTGAGAATCTACAATGTAAATAGTCATGAAATAGACTGTGGATAGAAGTGGTGGAAATGAGATTTCTCCAAAGATTGGCTGGCCTCTCCTTTAGTGATGATGTGAGGAGTTTGGCTATTCAGGAGGGGATCAGAGCAGATCCACTACTCCACATCAAAAGTTGACTTCAGGTGGTTCAGGCATCTGACAAGGATGCCTCCTGGGTGAGGTGTTCTGGGCATGTCCCTGCAGCAGGAGACCCATGGGCAGACCGAGTACATGCTGGAGAAATTATATCTCTCAGCTGGCCTGGGAATGCCTTGGTGCTCCCCCAAATAAGCTAGAAGAGGTGGCCGGGGAGAGGGAGGTCTGGATTTCTCTGCTTAGGCTGCTACTTCCATGACCCAAAACCGTATAAGCGGAAGAAAATGTATGCGTTGTCAATACTTTTAGGTGCTTTAATCTATTATTGTTGATATGAATGAATATAGTGTTAATCTTTGTTTCTCGATTTATACTTACAATTATTGATGTTTTTTTTCAGTGTCAGAAGTTCAGCTTGTTGCATGTTGATGCATTTTGCTTGCTCTCTGATTTTTTCTATTTGAGCATGTGCAAATATCTTTGTTGTATAGCAGTATGATCTGGCCATTTGATCCACATCATGAAAAAACTGGGTGATCTGCTGTTTGTCATTGATGTTGAGAACAACAGATCTTCCTCCACAGCTCTCACAAAGCTTCTGGATGTCCTTGTTTTCCTTTAGAAAGTTAACAGCAAGATCTGTATGATCTGAGTCCACAGTGGACAGAATCATGGTGATGTCATTGACTCGAGAGCTGAATGTGTTCTGGATGGCCTCTAACTCTCCCTTGTCTTCATCAGTGAGGGGAGCCACAGGTAGAACCAGGATGAAGGCATGAACACCCTCAGGATCACAGAGGGAGATACACCTGAGTGATTCCTCCATCACTGCCTCCTGAGATTTTCCATACAAGGCAGGCAGCTCCACCAGGGAAACCCAACGTCCACACACCTCTCCCTGATATTTAACACACTCTGATGAGTTGGAGACTGAATGAAGCTCTGTCTGACCTAAAATGGCCTTGGCTGCTGAAGTCTTCTCTACTCCTCTCCTCCCACACAGAACCAGGTTTAAATGTTGCCCTGCAAAGAAACAAAGATGCAAACACTACTATTACAAGTGTTTCAGACCTTGTCATTCATACATTCCTTCCTTGATTCGTGCTCAGACACAAAGAGGCAATTTTAAAACAGATTAATATTAAATTTAACGGTGTGTCAAAACCATTGAACATTTTGGTGAAGAATGCAGAATTGCTTTAGGCCTTGATAGTTTTTACATTTTGGGAATTTCTAAATATATCTTTGACAGTTAAATCCTGTAGTTGAAGGATTACGTTAAGTAGAAAATAAATAAATGGATGCATACATGAATACATTTCAAGAGTAAAGGTTGTTTTTTTACTTAGTTTACTCAACAAGTTTTTTCCCTCCCTTAAATATAAACAGATCTTATGTCACTCAGATGAACTCAGATTGCTTTGCTTTCCTGCATGAAACTGTATGGATTCTCTATTATTATTATTTATTAATTTATTCAGTATGTTGTTTTTTGCATGTCTGTTTTCTGTGTTTGTACTGAAAATGTGTATTTAAGGATGAATGAGAGATCTCGTACTGTAGACCAAATCTGCCAACATGCAAATAAGGTAACCTGAACCTGACTTTAACCATAGAAAGAACAGCTCAGAAACCATGCTGATTTTTTTTTCTTTTGGTGGATGGTGTCTTACATTTGAGAACACTTTTTAGAAAGTGTCCTAACATTCTGTTAAAAAATCTGAAGAAGTTCCTAAAAGGTTGATTCTGTTTATCTGGGCGTAGGTTTTCAGTGGGAGAAACGTTTCGTCACTCATCCAAGTGACTTCTTCAGGCTCAGCTGACTGCAGGTTTCCCCGACCTTATATACAGTACATTTGCATAATGACTGAAACCAGCCCACTGAAGGAACAATGGGCTGTGAGGTCAGTTCCTTTTTAGATGAACAGAATCAACCTTTTGGGATCTACTTACCTGGATGATTGAGCATGCATCAAGACATCTATAGAAATTGACTTTTGCATCATCATAAAAATATTTTTCTACACTTACCAACAGACTGATCATAATCCAGACTATTAGGAACTGGTTTCTGTTGTTGAGTGCTAGTGTGATGACAAATCACATGTTTTCTATTGTTCCTTTCTAGAATCTGGTTTACACTTTTCAGTAACTCCAGAATATCAAGCTGTTTGAACTTCAGTGACATGTTTCCACATCTTCTGATCATTTGTTGTAAGGGTGCATCATAATTATAAATGTTCTCTTGATATGAAAATCCCTTTGTGGGTGGTGATACCAAAACCAGTGAATGATCAAAAGATTGATCACTGAAGAGCTTAAGGACTCGACAGAGCTTCATTTTTTGATGCTCTCTGAAGTTTTCAGGCTGTAGAACCAGCAGGAACACATGTGGTCCAGGATCAGAAAGCCTCACACAGGTTTCTACATGTTCCTTTAATTTGTCTTCTGAGATTTTTGGGCGAAGCAGATCAGGTGTATTGATGAGAACTATTTCTTTCCCTTGAATCTTTCCACTGACTTTCACACAGCACTCCAGTTCTTCAGCTGCATTTAACTTTGTGTCTGTAAGTAAGAAGTTCCCCACTGAGCACCTCTCAGACAAGCTGTTCCCCAATAGAACCACTCTGAGCTCAGACACTGAAATGACAACAAAGGCAAGAAGTACAAAGATAAAGTTTAACTCTTTGCAAATGTATACTATATAAAACTGTACAAGGATCATTTTATGAAAAAAATCTGTCAGTGCCTCCCACCACATCTTTTTATTTATTTTCAATCAGCTTAATGTCTCTGATGTAGAGGAACAGAAACAAGCATTAGTCCTCCCACACAGAACCAAGATTAAATTTTGTCTCTTGTGTTCAGACATTGACTTTGTGGTCTCTTTAATGACTGTGAGGAATTTTCCTTTGAGGATATTGTTCATGTTCTCAATCTTTACCATTAATTGTTCACGATCATTTTCAATCATGTACCCTTTAAAATGTTGATTAACAACCTAGTGGTAGCACTTTCTATTACAGCTTGGTAATACAGTGGTAATAGTAGGGTATCCATACAGTATTGATTGTAAATAAGGTTAGCATGTTTTTAAAGGGTAAGAACATAATTATGTGGTAATTTCTATGTCATTACAACTCAGTTAACTGTGGTAGTTTCTGTGTAATAAGCAGGAAACAGAGCTTCAAAATTGTCTGTTTCTATTTAATAGCCTATTAAAGCAAATTTAAAAAGTTTCTTATTAAGGTCGTCTACACTCTTTGTTAATCTAATGTATTCATATGTAATATTACTTTAAATGTAATTATTAGTATATTACATAAAGGTTTACACTTCATTCCAGATTTTCTGATGCTTATTTGCTTATTTCTGATGCTTACTTAGCTATCATTAGCTTGGTATTAAATTCCAGCTTATTACACAAAAACTGTCACAGGTGTTTTGTGGCAATAATCTTTTTTTTTTTTTAATAAAAGCTTTTATTTTGTTTATTTTAAACATTTATTGTTAAGTTTGCTTAAAAACAGGCAGTTTTGCGTTTTGCAGCTTAATTTCTTGATTATTACACAGAAACTACCACAGGTAACTGAGTGGTAATAACTTTATACCACATTAATTACCACATTATTACATTTTCTTTCTGCCTTGTTACCTACCATTTTACCTACTTTATTACTGAACTGTATTTCCATATCATTACCCCCAGTTTTGGGGTCCTCCTGATCCAGTTATGTAAATTTCAGTGCAATATTACTCAACTGTAACCACTGCTGCTACCATGATATTACTTGGATATTAGGTGGTTATCACTTTGGTAATTGAGTGGTAATAACTCAAAAATTACCATATTATTATGTGCTCATTTCTGCCTCGTTACCTTCCAATGACCAGTTTATTGCCAAACTGTAACAGAAAGTGCTACCAATTTTACTTATCTTTATCTATCCTGCCCTAATGTGTTCCACCTTAAAGTGCACAGTCATAGGTTGCATCAAACACAATGTGCTCTTCAAAGACTCACTGTTGGGTGGCTGTAATCCATAGCTGCCCCTGCGACTTCTGGGAACAGTGTCTTCTGATACTGAAAGGATAAAAAAAAAAATCATAAAATTAATGATAATAATAATAATTGTGTTGTGTTTATTATGTTAATGTTTATTTATTATTATTATATTTAAAATAATTTCTGATTTCTACTTGTTCCATTTGTTCTGGTCTTTAAGGACGAACTATGAAACACTTAAATTATTGTGAAAAACTGCTTGTAGAAGAAAGTAACTTACAGGTATAGCATGCAGTGTGACAAAGTGTGGCTGGACTCACCAAATGCTGCTGCCATACTGTCACTGTCATTCAGCTGCAACTCACTTACTGTTGGGTTAAAACAGTGAAGAATAAAACATATAATTAAACGTATTTAGTATTTATTCTGGATTTGTTTATATGTCTGAACTATTTTAAACTCCTGATCTGTAAGGTTTTAGCAGTGTGCACAGACCTGCACGTTTTGTACGTAACTTATAAATCTTTAAAATTTCCAAAAAAAATAACAAACAAAATCTCTGTATGGCTGGGTGTCTTTCAAATCTTCAAAATCTGTTTTACTTCAGATCACACCCATTATTACTGATAAGTGTGCCTCAGTTTGGTCAGATGTGTACATAACTGCATCTGTAACTACACCCATTAGTAATCTGTCCAAAGTGTCCTGAAGTGCCCCTGTATGCCTTTGTAGCAAAGTTAAACCACCATTACTGTAGAAGTTTTAAAGTCAAACCCTAATATCATTACCATGTTACCTTCATGACCACTGAAGTCACTGATTGAGGTCTGTTTAAACTTAACAGGTAACAGGAGAGAGTGTACCAGCAGTGGCTTGGATTTTAATAAAGAAATATGAGTACAGAAAAAGTGTTTCATTTCTATGCGGTTTGAATTTCTAATCAAAGTCATCCACCCTCACATCAGTATATACACTCAACAAAAATATAAACGCAACACCTTTGTTACTGCTCCCATTCCCCATGGGATGGACGTAGAGACCTAAAATTCATTCCAGATACACAATATAACCATCCCTCCCAAACAGTGGTCACAAATCAGTCCAAATGTGTGGTAGTGGGCACATCTGCTATATTGAGATAATCCATCCCACCTCACAGGTGTGCCACATCAGGATGCTGATCTGACATCATGAGTAGTGCACAGGTGTACCTCAGACTGCCCACAACAAAAGGCCACCCTGGAATGTGCAGTTTTTTGCGCTATTGGGGGTCTGGGGACCCAGAACCGGTCAGTATCTGGTGTGACCACCATTTGCCTCATGCAGTGCAACACATCATCGCATGGAGTCTATCAGATTGTCAATTGTGGCCTGTGGAATGTTGGTCCACTCCACTTCAATGGCTGTGCGAGGTTGTTGGATATTCGTGGGAACTGGTACACGCTGTCGTATACGCCGGTCAAGCACATCCCGAACATGCTCAATGGGTGACATGTCCGGTGAGTATGCTGGCCATGCAAGAACTGGGACATTCTCAGCTGCCATCTGCCCTGAACAATGTGAACCATGATTCATCCGTGAAGCGCACACCTCTCCAACGTGCCAGACGCCATCGAATGTGAGCATTTGCCCACACAAGTCTGTTACGGCGACGAGCTGGAGTCAGGTCAAGACCCCGATGAGGACGAGGGGCATGCAGTTGAGCGTCCCTGAGACGGTTTCTGACAGTTTGTGCAGAAATTGTTTAGTTGTGCAAACCAATTGTTCCAGCAGCTGTCTGGGTGGCTGGTCTCAGACGATCTTGGAGGTGAACCTGCTGGATGTGGAGGTCCTGGGCTGGTGTGGTTACACGAGGTCTGCGGTTGTGAGGCCGGTTGGATGTGCTGCCATATTCTCTGAAACGCCTGTGGAGACGGCTTATGGTTGAGAAATGAACATTCAATGCACGGGCGACAGATCTGGTTGACATTCCTGCTGTCAGCATGCCAATTGCACGCTCCCTCATTGCTTGTGGCATCTGTGGCATTTTG